ACTTACATAAAAATACACAACTAAATTGAATAAATGATTAAAATGACTAAAATGTTTAATCAGATCAAAAGGAAATTAATCTACTAATAAATATCATGCTAGAATTGGAGGAGGAAATTTTAGGTTTTTCTTCTTCCAAGTTCTAACATGATAGTAATCAGAAAATTATATAGCTTTTTTAGGATGATAACGAAACCTAATTCTCCCCACGAGGAGTGAGAGCTCCATCATCCAACACTTCGTCAATGGCATCTTCTATGTAGTTGGTGGTGTTCTACTAAAATTCACACTTTAAATTGTTAAGATTGATAAGAAAATGACTTTAGTATTAATTAAAACAACGCCTTTCACAATATGGCACTCTTATTTTAATTAAGAAAGTTGTTAAAGGGTGCGATGCGTCAAACTGATACATGTACTTAACAACAAAGAAGAAAGGAAAAAAATCCTCAATGTTGGGTGTTCATATGCCTATCCATCCAATAAAGTTTTATATTTAAATTATTAATTTGAAAGTGATACACTTACTAAAGACTCAAGATTTAATATCTCATCCATAAATTTTATACTAATGTACCAAATCCATTCATCCTTAGGTTGTGGATTCAAATTCTCATCCGATATTTTTTTATAAGGTATAGTTAGCTTAACTCATATAGACCCATCATTGCAATGATCGGGTCTAAGACCTATTTTCATCATTGTGAATGGATCAAGTCCTATTTCCACAATTGATAAAGTCATAGATCATTGTGAATGGATAAGGTCTACAGAAATAATATGATGAGAAGTATTGGAGTCAATAATCCAATTATTTGGATGAGTAATCAAAGTAGTCATGATGTTTACTTAAGACCAATCGGGTATAGCAGTAAGCTTGGATCGAGACTAACAAACTTTTGCTATGTGTTTGATTTTATCATAAAGCTAGCCGACGATGTTTTATTGATTGTTATTGTTAGGATGCTAGAGCTCTTGATAGTTGTAATGTAAGTTATTTCCTAAATAATTTGGATTGAAATTGCTACCATAATTGAAGGATTGATAGTGGAATGGAGGATGGCAACTCTGTGTTACTCATATGTCCAAGAGGTATCTTATTCGGTCCTTTGTTGAAATTCTTATTGTTTTGATTGTTTTTTCTTTTAGGTTTTTGATTGACCTGAATTGTGATAATTGGTCCCGTCATCTTCTTTTCTCTTTTCAAGTATGTTTCATTTGAAGTATGCAAGAACTAGCACGGAAACAAATGGTGAAGTCGTCGAGCAGAAGAAGAAATCGAGTAACAACGATCAAGGAAGAAGAGATATTGCTATCATCGGATAGCGATGAAGGGGAAGTCTTACTGAAGGTAAGTGGAGCTATGATACCATGAAGAATTGAGATGTCGTGGAAGATATTATTTTTATTTGTTGAGATGATAAGTATTTATACAGGTATTGAGTAAGAGATTTCTCTCGTTCAATCACTTAAATCTATCCTCAAATCATACATTGTTTGACTATATATATATATATATAATGTATTTTGTTCGGTGTTACCGGAGAAGTCAAGGTGGCCGATACTGAAAGTTGATGCAACCTGATCTTATATGAACACTTGTATACTAAAGTATTTCTTGAAAGCAAATATATATATATAGTAAACTTGGCAATGGTGC